CCCACACACCTGTGGGCTCAGAGCAATTTACAGTTACTCATGACATTTGGACTAACAATACTCGTGGGGGATAGGGAAGACAACATACAGTATTTTTAAATACACACACATTGTAGCTGGCCGGAGGATTAGTCTGTGAGCTGGATCAGTCATGTTCCGACGGCATGTATTCTTGTCGGCTGGCTGATGATGTCAGGGCTTCTTGATGTTGCGCCGCCACACTGCCACCACCTGGCCGACTCGCTCCACTGCAGGGATGCCGAAACAGATCTTTCATCTTTTGATCTTGCCGCGCCACAGAAGTCACACTCGGCAGCTAACACCTTCCCAAAGGGAGTGGTGTGCCCACCCCCTTACGAGTGGTCCCCAATTTATCTACTTTCCGAAGCTTTCGAATCACTGGGTAGACGATGAGCTAGGACAAGGCTTGGTTGCTCTTTCTCCTCAACCTGAGGCACTGCAGATCAGGCGAGAGAGAGAGAGTAAGATTGCCAGCAGCACACCCAGAGGACACCAAGCTGATCATGGAAAAGGGTGAGTAAAACCACCAACACCCACACTGTGGCCAGCTTGCCCTTTTCCTGGGATGAGAGCTCAGAAGCCACAGAGATGGGGGAGGGAGTTGCTGGAGAGGACAGGATCTTTGCTTTCATCCTTGGCATGAGGCCTGCCACTCAGGGAGACTCACAGCTTAATTGTCTTCCAGCCCGTGCTGGTGGCTGGTTCAAGGTAGGAATCACCAACACAGGGCCTACCAGCCTTGCTCACTTTCCTCGAACATGGGTTAGGCGCCAAAGTGGAAAGAAGTGTCCAGAAGAACCACAGGTGGCATGTCAAAGAGCCATATTTGGCTCCTGAGCCACTCAGTGAGTATCAGTGGTCTACAAAAAACAAACTCTATAACATTTCAGACTTTTTTTCCCTTAACTATTTGTTTTAGCTCTGGCACTCAGAGGCATTCTTCCTTTATTTCTACCCCCCCGGGGAAGAGGTTGTCATTCACAGTGAAGTTGTTATTGACACTGACTTGAAATCATTGGGCAGGGACTGTGGCTGAGCTGTACAGTATTTGCTTGGCATGCAAAAGGTCTCAGGTTGAATCCCTGGCATCTCCAGTTCAAACGCTTGGGTAGGAGGTGATGTGGAAGTTCTTTGCCTGACCCCCTGGAGCAGTGGTTCTCAACCTGTGGGTCGCAACCCCTTTGGGGGTCGAACGACCCTTTCACAGGGGTCGCCTAAGACCATCGGAAAACACAAATTTTCGATGGTCTTATGATAGCAACGAAAATAATTTTATGGTTGGGGCGTTCCCTCTAAACTGTGGAATCTTGTGACAAAAATTCTACTTTGTGAGGGACCGGCATTAAAGTTGTGAGCGAGCCATTTGGCTGCTGCATTAATGAGTTTGCTCTGGAGCCGTCCTTCCTGAGCCAAGACAAAAATGTGTGAGCCGGAGGCTAAAAAACTGTGAGCTGGCTCACACTGACTCAGCTTAGCGGGAACACTGGCTGGGGGGTCACCACAACATGAGGAACTGCATTAAAGGGTCGCAGCATTAGGAAGGTTGAGGACCACTGCCCTGGAGAGCCACCACAGTACTGACCTTAATGGATCAATTCGGTATAAGGCAGCTTCATGCATATTCATTCACCACAAATATTGCAAAAAATACTGAAAAACACTGGGGTTGTTTCCCCAAAGTGCAACTGCTCAAGGCTTTTAATTGATTTCTCCTGCCAACCTTTAATTCTGCCGTAGGCTACCCAACATCAGGGACTAGCCAGGTCTCTTCCAGATGCAGCCTGCAACTGTCCACTTCAGAAATGGCCCTGTTCCCTGGGGCAGGGGCCTCAGCAGACCTCAGCAGAGCTCTGTCACCAGGTAGGTCACAACTGTGGTAGGGTAGCTGAAAGCCACCCGGTGACTCATTATTGCATATATTGTTGTAGACAAATTCCAGAAGAGCAGTTCATCTGTTGCAGCCAAAAGAAAGAGTCTTGTGACACCTGGAAGGCCAACACATTTATTTAGGCAGAAGCGTTTCTAAGTAAGACCCCAAACGCATGAAGATCTGTTCAGCTGACATAGAAATTTATACCCAACAGGAAAACAGGGTTGGAGGGTTATTACGAAGAGAAGTCAGAAAATGTTGTCATCAACATTTATTACAATCAAAAGATTAGCAGTTTACCAGCACAATTTGCATACAAACATAAAATGTATCTATATGGATTAAAATTCATAGCCTTAGAGGTGTAATTGATTATACATAAAATGTTATTCAAAGGTTTGGATGATCTGCTTTCTTATGGACAAAGCCTCAGCACAGAATTTGGCCACTTTAAGAGTCGCATTAGATTGGTCTGCCCATCCATCCATTTCTGTCAGGAAATCCAAGCCAGACCATACCTGACAGATGGCTTCCCAAACATTTGCTTAAGTAGTTTACCATTAATTAGATTAGTGATTAATCTGATTGATGGTGACCTAATTAAGGGAGAGATGCCCTGAAACGCTCCGCAATCTAGTAGGCTCTCCTCTGCAGCCTGCCAGGGAGGGCCCTACCGTGCACCACATATGGCTCATCCCGTCACTCTACCCACCCGGGAAGAGCAGCTTACTGCTGCCTGCTGCATGTGCAAGGGGAGGGGAAGGAGAGAAGCACTCACTGGAGCATTGCAGGCAAGGAGGAGAAGAGCGAGAGTGAGAGGCTGTGTGTGACTTCTACTGCTGACACGAGACAGAATTCCCGGGCTTGCTCGCACCATCAATGAGACGTCACTGCTGCTACCGTGGAATTTTCAGCCTCTGACACTGAACCCTAAGTGAATGGAGATTGTGAGGAAAGGGATGTTTGCACACACACACAAGGCAGATGGTTTGTAAAAGCAAATGGGTTGTCTGCCCCAGAGCACAATCAGGTGAATGCCTCCCAGGGTCGAGTAAACCCAGAGGCAGGCAAAGAGGGGCCTGGGTGGATCTTCCCATTACTTATGCCCTTGACACCTATTCTTTCGTGACTCCTAAGAAACCAGACTGCCCTCCCCATTCATCTTTGCCATGGAGACATTTCCCATGCATAAGTGGCCTCCGTAGGGGGTCTGAGAGGAGCGCATGCAGCCCATCTGGGATGGGAGGCCAGTGTGTCTGAGGAATCCAGGCAGATATGCACCAGGAGTTCCATGTCAGCAGTGTCCTGCGATTTTTTTTGAAAATGCACATCGGAGAGTTGAGTTTTTTAAAAAAATCACTCGGGAAAGGAACTTCTTGCACACATCTCCAGTACAGCTGCGCTCTATCGACCGGGGGGGGGGGGGCTGAGGAGGGAATCAATGGTGCCAGCAGCTGGTCAGCCATGCAGTGGAACAGAACTAAAGTTTTTGACAATAAAAGGGGGAGACTAGGGTGGGGGGCTCTGAAGATACAATAGGGGGCTTAGCCCCTAAAGCCCCGCCACTGGCTACAGCCTTGTTTGATACTCTCTTTCTGGTACAGCAGATGACTTTAGTGATAGGTTACATATATGTGTTAGTAGATCAACTCTTTCAGACCCGAGATCCTTAAGAAGAAGAAGAGAAGAAGAAGAGATTGGATTTATACCCCGCCCTGATTGGATTTATACCCCGCCCTTCACTACCCAAAGGTGTCTCAGAGCGGCTTACAAACTCCTTTCCCTTCCCCTCCCCACAACAGACACCCTGTGAGGTAGGTGGGGCTGAGAGAGCTCTGACAGAAACTGCTCTTTTTCAAGAACAGCTGTGCCAGAACTATGGCTTGCCCAAGGTCATCCAGCCAGGTGCAAGTGGAGGAGTGGGGACTCAAACCCGGTTCTCCCAGATTAGAGTCCGCGCACTTAACCACGACACCAAACTGGCTTAAGAACTCTCAGGTGTATGCCATCAGGACCTGGAGACTTATCATTTTTTTAATTTCCCCAATAGATGTAGAACTTCATCTCTGGTCACCTCAGTTTGAAGCTCATACAGATCAGAGGTCCACAGCCCTTGCTCCCAGCAGCAACAGCAGAGGGTGGGGCCTGTAATCAGCCCCAGGCAAACCAACCTTGCTCAGTGAGCAAACAGACCAGGCAAAAGACTCAGACACAGGCAGAACCACCAAGCACCCAGCTCATTCTCAAACTCTGTCCTCTCTCAAAGCACCCTCAGTTAATGCTCCCCAGTAGTTTAGGAAAAGCAAAAAAACCCCAAACCCACCCACTCACCTTCCCAGCAGCTCTCTCCTGTGTTCTTTCTCCCAACCCAGCTGGCTCAGTTTTGCCTCTGAGGAGACACCACCTGAGCTCTTCTGAAGTGCCTTCTGCTCCAGTGAGGCAGAGGAAAGCCAGGATCAGCTCTTTGCTTCCCCGTGCAAACAAGCACCAGGAAAGGCACCATAGGCACCAAGCTGAGGAATCACTGGAGTAAAGAAATCAGAGCGGATGCAGACTGGTCCCAAATATTGATGGAATAGCAAGCAGGATGAATTTGACTACTGTACATAAATGTGTAATGTGGAACAATTACTTTTTTGGGGTGAACTAACCACCACCACCAAGTCCCTGTTGAGTCTAAGGCTGATAGTATCACATCTGCATAGGAATGGGAGAGGCTAAAAGGGATCTGGTACCCTGAATAAAATACAGGATTCCTAATTACACAGAGAGAGCTTGTCTCATGACCCCCCAGGGGGTCACCACCTTCAGCTGCCACCACTCTGGACTTTGGGTCCCTTGAGAAGGCCCAGAGTACCCTCCCAAGCCCATCCAAAATGCCCCTTTTTAAGCCGAGAAACTATAGGCATGATGACCAGGCAGAGAACAATTAAACAAATGACTGGGGCAAGGAAAACAAGACAAGGTGCTTTAAAATATATAACAGTGTTTAAAGGCGAAATAAACGAATCTAACATGACTACCTAGTTCACTTTAACTGGTTACTACTTCAAGGCCCCACAGCCCTCTTATATCAGACCTCCTGCCTGTACTCTGTCCCAAGTGAGGGAACTTTTTCCTCAGACCAGACTGTCCCCTCAGTTTAGGTCTGTGAGAGACAAGACCGCAGAAGAACAAAGAACTCAGTTTCATGGCCCACAAAGCTTAAGTTCCATTCCCTCACACAATCTCTGTACACTGATTGGCTACAACCGTTGCTAAGCATTGTGGGGGTTGTAAGCTGTCTGCTGTCCACTCCCACACAGGCCTCTAGGCCTTTCTCCCAAGCCTGCACAGATCATGACAGCTTGTGTACATACAACTTACATACAGACAAGCACTGTGCCAGTAGGAATGATTAATGTGGGTGGAAGTGGATGCAGCAGACATTATCATGCAGCCCCTCCCTCCATTCATTTTGTGCAATTTCCAAATGTGAATGAATGCAAAAGTTATTCAGTGGAAATAGAGAATCCTTACTTCATACAGTGACAAAAGGCACTGAGTGGAAATAGAGAACCCAGGACTATCTGTGTAGTTACAAGCCTCAGTATCTGGAGTACATCCACAGTCTCCCAAGATACAGCATGAGGAAGATAAGGGATCCAGTTCCAAAGGCCTCTCTTGAATGGCTTGTTTGTTCCTTCTTATGAAGCAGATAAAAGGCTAATTCTGAGCAACAGGGTTGGTTTGCCCATAAATTAAGCTCAGACCAATGCTGTCCATTGTCCAGAAGAAGCCCTGTCTTCTAAGAACACACCCCAGAGCAGCAAACTGGCTCCACTTATTCCATGCAGATGGGTACAAACACTTGGTCCATTGATTTTCTTTTCTGAATTCTTTCCATGATGTTGAGCAAGATGGGATGGGGGTAAGAAAAGGGACCAGGAGCCATTAGCAAGCACCTGCATCTTGGAGCAGCTGGTGGTTGTGCCATTCAGACCATGAGCAAGAATCAGGAAGCTGGGGGGCTTTGGGGGAATATCCAGTTGGCAGTCCCACAGAACCCCCAACCGAGTCCTGATTCACGAGCAAAAATTCCAGTTCGAATGTGTCAAATTGCTGAGTGTACGTCCAGAGAGATAGTGTGGTGTAGTAGTGGGAAGACCTGACACTGAGACACAGCTCACTGGACAAGTCTATCTCAGCCTAACCGCTGAGACAGCTGAGCCTCAAGGGGGAGGCATTCCCAAGTGAAGTGCCACCACTGAAAAAGTGGCATAGCTGGTCACCACACCTCTCCAGGCAGGAGGGCACAGAGAGCAGGGCTTGGGAGGAGGATTTTAACTGGCAGCCTGGCATCTGAAGAAGTGAGCAGTGACTCACAAAAGCTCATACCCTGCCACAAATTTTGTTAGTCTTCGAGGTGCTCCTGGACTCTTGGTAAGCAGTGGGGTACCGCAGGGATCAGTACTTGGTCCACTGCTTTTTAACTTGTTCATTAATGATTTGGAGTTGGGAGTAAGCAGTGAAGTGGCTAAATTTGCAGATGATACAAAGTTGTTCAGGGTGGTGAAAACCAGTGAGGATTGTGAGGCACTCCAAAGGGATCTGTCAAGGATGGGCAAGTGGGCGTCAACATGGCAAATGGGGTTCAATGTGGCCAAGTGCAAGGTGATGCACATTGGAGCAAAAAATCCTAACTATAAATACACATTGATGGGGTCTGAACTGGCAGAGACTGATCAAGAGAGAGATCTTGGAGTTGTAGTAGATAACTCACTGAAAATGTCGAGACAGTGTGTGACTGCAATAAAAAAGGCCAATGCTATGCTGGGGATTATTAGGAAGAGTATTGAAAACAGATCAGCCAGTATCATAATGCCCCTATATAAATCAATGGTGCGACCTCATTTGGAATACTGTGTGCAGTTCTGGTCACCACACCTTAAAAAGGATATTATAGCTTTGGAAAAAGTGCAGAAAAGGGTAACTCAAATGATAAAAGGGTTGGAATACTTTCCCTATGAGGAAAGGTTAAAGTGCTTAGGGCTCTTTAGCTTGGAGAAACGACGACTGAGGGGAGACATGATTGAGGTTCATAAGATTATGCATGGGATAGAGCAGGTAGAGAAAGAGGTACTTTTCTCCCTTTCTCACAATACAAGAACTCGTGGGCACTCAATGAAATTGCTGAGTGGTCGGGTTAGAACGGATAAAAGGAAGTACTTCTTCACCCAAAGAGTGAGTAACACATGGAATTCACTGCCACAGGAAGTGGTGGCGGCTACAAGCATGGACGGCTTCAAAAGGGAATTAGATAAGCATATGGAGCAGAGGTCCATCAGTGGCTATTAGCCACAAGGTATAGATAGGGGCTCTGGGGCAAGTGATGCTCTGTCTTCTTGGTGCTGGGGGGGGTCAACAGTGGGAGGGCTTCTAATGTCCTGGCCCCACTGGTGGACCTCCTGATGGCACCTGGTATTTCTGTCCACTGTGTGACACAGAGTGTTGGACTGGATGGGCCTTTGGCCTGATCCAACATTGGTGTCTCTTATGTTCTTATGTTCTCTTTTCTGCCGCTACAGGCAGTCTAACACCAGCTACCCATCTTGATCCGTCACCCTGGTCTGTATAATGGACACAAAGTGCTACCACGGTATATGACGGGTGTTTGCAGTGTCATGGCTAAAAAGTTTTGGCAGGATCAGGATTAGCATAAATAAGTTCTAGCACAGAGGTAAGAGAGTTAGGTCCAGGCACACTATGCTTATATATATATGAATGAGAGACAAGTTTCTCCTCCTTTTCAGGCCCACTTTCTCTGGCAATGGTACAACTGAAGTTTCCCTTCACCTACAAATAGAGTGCCAGCCAGAACACCAATAGGGATTTCTGAGGCCTGGCAAACATAATGTTCTGGCTTGGTGGGTACCCAGCACAAACTTGAAGTGTACTCAGAACATAATCCTCTACCATGCTAAGACAGGGAATCTGGAAGGGGGCTGGCATCCTACACGGTTGGAGAGCACCCCAAGGCAGTGGAAAAACCTGCCCCCTTCTTTTCCCTTCTGAGTACACAGATTCTGGAGTCATCCTTGGCCTCTTTGGCCACACCCCTTTGGCCAGGCCACCCTGACCCCAGTAAACTGACTCCCTCTGTACCCATTTGTTGCCAGGGATACCACCTGTTAAATTTTTATCAGTTGTACAGCCGTTAAAATAATAGAAAGCTCAATCTGAGAAAAAGGGCCATGTTAGTAAGCCACAGCCAAGGGGTCCATTCAGGAATGCTAATTCAGGAATGCTAATCACCTGGAAGCGCTAAAGACCCAGGTTCCAACAAGAATGGTCATTTAGAACCTTGTCATCCATCCTTTCCCAGGTTTGAGACATGATTGAAATCACATGAATGTAACAAAGTTCACTGCAGTGATCATCACAAGCTTATACAACCTTAAAAAAATGTTATTTATTTATACCTGTTGTTTTCCCCCATGGAAGAACACTCAAAGTGGCTTACACCATCATTTGCTCCTCCTCCATTTTATCCACACAGCAACACTGTGAGGTAGGTTAGGCTGAGAGAGAGAGAGTAACAGTAACAAGGTCTCCCATCAAGCTTCCATGGAAGAGTTGAGATTCAAACCTGGGTCTCTCAGAGCCTAGATTGCTACTGTAACCACTATACAACACTGCCTCTGAATTCATCAAGGAAGACAGGCCTATCAATTGCTGCTAGATTGGGCAGTTTAATGCAATTGGCATCACCAGAGACAGTATACCCCTGAACACCAGTATGCTGTAGTGGTTAGATTGTTGAATGATAATCTGGGTTTAAATCCCCACCCTGCCATGAAGCTTGTTTTGGCCAGTCACCCATCTCCCAGCTCTACCTCACAGGGTTGCTGTGAGGATAAAAGATGGAAGGGAAAACCACACACACAATCCTAAATTCCTTGGAGGAAGGGCAGCATACAAACGTACAAGATAGATCAGGGGTTTTATCAGAACCAACACAGCTACCTCTACAACCTTGTCTGTGTGTCTCACAGGCAGATTTTCGTCTTTTCTCAGGGAGTTCCTTTTTCCCCTTTGCAGAATATGCTGAGCCAGATGTGGTCCAAGTCAGCCCCACCAGCCAGACGGTCCCATCCACATTCAAGCCTGACCCAGATGAGGGCTACACGCTCCCCCTGGTGGTGAATCACTATGACATGCCAGGGAAACACCATGAGAATTTGCCCCCAGAGCCGGAATATGCCACGCCATTTGTAGAGCAGCCCACTGAGCCAGAGGGGGCTGCTCTCCGGAGGAACATCTGCATCATCAAAGTCATTCCTTCCTCCCAAAGCCAGCTAGGGTCCTTGGGCTCACCAGGGTACCCCGAGCCCCAGACACAATACGACTCCCCTGCTCGGCGGGCTGCTGAGAAGCCAGACACCGCAGGAGGTGTGGCCAGCATGCTGGAGGGTGGGGCCACAACCACCCACAAGGAACTACAAGGCAATCGGACTCGGGGCTCAAAAGATGAGTTCCCTGCTGCGCAGCCACCTACCTCGCTCCAATGATCCACCATCTGGCTCACAGACTCTCCCCCCCCCTGCACATGTCTATCACAAGCCCTTGTGAACCACACAGAAAGAGGATTCATGCCCACGCTGCTTAGAAAGTGATGGACTGTGCCAAGGAGTACCACTTGTGGCTAGAAGGTCCCCCGACCAAGGGCTGTATCTCTCGCCAGCAAAGGGAAATAAGTCAAGAGTTTCCTGGCACCTGCGCTCAGCTTCTGAGAAGTCTTTGTCTTGAACCCTTGATGGATTTGGTTGGGATTTCTCATCCACACCCTTTAATTTAACAAATACCTCCAAGTGGAGCTACAGAATACAATCCTAAACAGCTCTACTCAGAAACAGAACCGCATTATTCAGTAGGGCTTACTCCCAGGAAAATGTTCTTAGGATTGTACTCTATGTCCCATTGAACTCAGTGAGAATTACTTCAGAGTAAATATTTAGGATTGTACTGGAAGTAACTCCAGAGATGGTATGGGGGGAGGGAAATCACACACACACACACATAAATATAACTTTTATCTTCTAACTTTGCTAATGATTTTTTGTGAATAACAAACATCACACACACACTCTACATAAAAATGTGCTTCCAATATGTGTGTGTGGGGGGGGGGGGGGGGACCAAGCCTGATCCAGTGGCATCCACTAATGCCCACATTCCTTTATTAAAAAACTTGAAGGCATTTTGCAAACCAAGTTATAAACTTTTTTCTCCACTACCTGTTGTTGCCAAGATTCCTTTTTTCAGCATTCATGGTTCATTTTGCTTTCAGATTCAACAGTGAATCTTTGTCATTTCTCCATATCAAAAAAGGCACCCACTTTGACATTTGTTTCCATGTGAGGAACAGCCCGTGAGCTAGGGTTTCAGACTACAAGGGAAGAGAGCTGGGTTCAAATCCCACCCTTCTCTCAGGCCTTCCCCCCCCCCCCAGGGTTGTTCTGCAGTAGGACAAACCCCACAGATACCACGTGTCTAGGAGGAAGAGCAAGAATTCTGAGCAGCCCGCGGGAATCACAACAAGGTTTTGGAATGAATAAATCTTTCCACGTTGATTACCAAGGCAGGGAGGGATCAGGGATTGGAATAGCCATGTTTTACCTCAGTAAATACCGCATACCAAAGTGGATAGCAGACTGATTTCCACAAGTTTCTGAAAATAATGACTTTTATTAGGGAATATTTAAAGATTTAAACAAACAGGACGCAACTCACCTCTGGGTCCGGGGGGGGGGGTGGGGAGCTTTCACAGAATCTGAAACTTATATTCAGAAACACGGCATCTGCAAAAGCAAAGAGGAGGAAAGTCCCAGTACAAAGATCACAGAAGTGTTGCTGCATCAGTCTACTGCAGCTAAGAGAAAGACTTAGACAGTGGTGGCGAACCTATGGCACGGGTGCCAGAGGTGGCACTCAGAGCCCTCTCTGTGGGCACGCATGCCATCGCCCCAGCCAGGCGCAGACCATCATTAAAGTGTCGAATTCTCTGCCAAATAATTTTAAGTAAATGACAGCATTTGGGATTGCTTTCCATACTTTGTTTGGATCATCTTAAGTTAATGTATGAGTTGTTTTTTCTAAAGTAGAACCTCAGTATTCAGGTTAAATTGCCGTGTTGGCACTTTGCGATAAATAAGTGGGTTTGGGGTCGCAGTTTGGGCACTCGGTCTCTAAAAGGTTCGCCATCACTGGACTAAGACTTATGGTGCAGTCCTCATCAGACTTACACCTTTTGATGGGTGGATTTAGAATGCTATAGCTTCAGAAGATTGTTCTGTTGTTCAGACAGACACTTTCACGAGCCAGAGCTCATTTTGTCAGATGTAGGAAAATAGACAGAAGTGTAAATACAGAAGAACACAGAGAGGGAGTGTTGGACTAGGATCTGGGAGACCCAGGTTTGAATCTGCACTGTGCTAGGGACACTCACTGGCTGACCTTGAGCTCTCTCATCTCAGGGGTCATTTGGGGGGGGGACGCGGGGGGACACCATCCCCCCGGGTGAGGTGCGGGAGGGCGGGGCCTGGAGCTCCCTGCTGGTGCCCGCTGGAGGTCGCCGCCGGCTGTGGGGAGGACACACCTCCGGTGATGTCAGGGGGTGTGGCATATGCTAATGAGTTGTGCTAATGAGTCCCCCTAGCTCTTTTTCTACGAAATGACCCCTACCTCACAAGGTTGTTGAGTGGATAAAAAAGAGAGGAGACTGATGTAAGCTACTCTGGTCCCCACTGGGGACAGAAGTGGCCTATAAATGAAGTCAAATAAATACATAAACATTCTTTCAGGAAAAGGCCAGTACAGCAGGCTATAGGTGTGTTTCAGTACATTGCAGAGCACAGATCCAGGCAAAAATGAAACCAATCCCAATGGATGTGATTCACACTGGTGATGAAGTGGCAGAGAAATTACCATAAAGATGGATAATTGTTTGCCAGTGAGGAACCCAAACTGGTCCTGACGGAGCCCAAACATGACAGAATCAAATCTGAATACATTTCCACAGGGTAGCCATGTGACAGTGTGATCTCATGCAGACGTTTAGGCTCCCACTGGAGAAAACAGTGTAACTACCTAAAATGAACAAAGCTCTTGTCCAGTGGTGCACTTAAGGCCAACAACCTGCAAGCACATGACTTCAGATACTTTAACATGGAAGTTACCAGTCCAGAGACAGAAGATTGCACATAATAAAAGAAAAGTTTGTAAAGTGTTCTGCCAAGCTTGATTTAAAAGGTTTGGAAAAGTCAGTTAGGACAAGCTCAACGTTTTACAAGGTCAAAATTAATATAAACGGATTCAGGTGGGTAACTATATTGGTTTGAAGCAGCAGAACAAAGTTCCAGTGCAATAAGAGCTTTAAAAACAAAGCTGTATTGGCAGACGTACATACGCACTCCTTTAAAATAACAGGAGTGGAAAGACAGAGATTCAAATTCTTCTTTAAACGTGCAAAAAACGGGGAGCCAGAACAACCGATTACCAGCTACCCCAGAATAAAAAATTATGCTTCCGAAATCTCTTGATAGCGATTCCGCACAGAGAGAGAGAAAGCCGCAGCCACCCTCCTTCTATGTGCCACTCACAGCAGAAGCCCTTTTTACCTGCTCCGCCTCCCGGAGGGTCCACCAGGCTATCTGAGCGATTCCAACAGGTTATGGTGACTCACCCATCGCGCGCCGGACAAAACACAAATAGCCCCTTGGACTTTATAGCCCCGTTTCTTTGCAAAAAATCAATTCTACAGGATGATAAGAAACGCGGACCCCCTCGCCAGGCAATATGCAAATTTTCGCAATGCGTTCTGGGTAATGGTCTCCGTCCTCCACAAAAGAAAGCTGGGAGAGACGAAGTCGGA